CTGAGAAAAGGCAAATAACATCTTGGTATTATTATGAAAATAGTTTTAACTTTGCAGAGGCCAGGGAGCCTCCCCCCCCCCCCCATCACATTTTGAGAATTTTTGCTCCAGGGATTACAATATTTTGTTTTAAACATGAATACACTATTCTTTTTTTTGTCTTCTCAACACAACCTCTGCAGAGCAAGCCTCATCATTCCTGTGAGCACATCAAACTTGCCCCTGCACAGCAGCCACCAAAGCTCACTTCAGTCCTCAGTGCCCTTCTGAGTAGACTGGTGCCAGCTTCCTGGCCAGCTGTGGTGATCTGTTATCTAAGGCAGTGATTTTCAACCACTGTGGCACAAGAATTTTTAAAAGAATACCTGACTATATAGGTCAAGAGCACTGACTGACCGCTTTTCCCTTAGATTGTCAAATAAAGAAATGTCAACAGCTAACACAATAGTCATCTGGTGTGAATGAACCAAAATTGTAACTTTTTTTTGTCAGATCAACAAAAAATATATTTTTTGGTTGAGCTGCAGAATTTTAGTAATTAGTTTATGTGTGCCAAGAGATGAAAAAGGTTGAAAATCACTGATTTAAGGACTCCTTCTTCTCCTCTTGGCCTTCCAAGTGTGGTCCTCTCTTTCCCAGCCTCCATCACTGCCACTATGCCTTTCACCCCAGATGACCCTCACTTAACCTTCTTTGGCTTGAAGAACAGAATCATCTGCATCATTCACTAGTCTCTTTCTAATTTTTGTGTTATAAACTCTATGTTCTACTTTCTTCTGTGCTCCTTTGTTTTCTAAGAGTCTAGTTTGGAAGTTAAAAATAACTCAGTTTCTCTTTGAATATCATGTGTTTAACAAGCCTAATTTCAACCAGGCAGATGCAGATCTTGCTACCCATTCGCCCCCCTAAAAGTTCTGGTTTATTGTCTGTCACGATCACTCACTCCCACACCCCTATCCCCACAAAAAAATAAACTCTAGGAAAACAGGGACCATGTCTGTCTTCTTGTTCACCATGGTATCCCTACAACCTAGGACAGTGGGCTAGCACACTACAAGCAAATAATACACTGTGAACTGAATTATTTTATTGTCTTTGAATGTCAGGTGTTTAATAATCCTAATTTCCACAAGGCAGATGGTACCCTTAAATCAAACCTGGGAGGCATGTCCAACCATTATTCTCTCTTAAAAACTGAGGAAACGAGGCACAAAGAGGCTAAATCTCTACTGTGGGTGACCTGGCATCAAAGCCCCTGCATCCGAGCTATTTATTCATCCTTAGAACTCCTGACTTCCTCACCTATACTCTCTCTTTTTTTAAATTATGTGATTTTTTTTAACCCTCATCAGAGGATATGTTTTTATTGATTTTAGAAAGAGAGAAACACGGGTGTGAGAAAGAAACATCTATCAGTTGCTTCCCGCACATGCCCCGACTAGGTATCAAACCCATACTCCAGTCATGTGGCCTGACTGGGAATGGAACCTGCAACCTTTTGGAGTACAGGACAACACCCCAATCGACCAAACCACCCAGCCAAGGCTGACCTATGCTCTTTCCACTATTTCTGGCAGGTATCTTACCAAATATCTGAGGACTGGCAACAACTGTGAAAACCTGAATACCCTATTCTGAAGTGCAGGGAAAAATCAAACTGCCAATCACCAGGTCAGTGGTTCTCAAAACGTGGTCCAGAAGATTCTGGAGATCCCTGAGACATTTCAGGGGAATTTGCAAGTACAAAACTATCTCATAATAAAACTATGATGTCATTTGATTGTTCCCCCTGCATCCTTTTTCTTGAGTGTATGGTGGTGTTTCAAGAGGTTATATGATATAACAGAACAGAAAAATGCAGAAGTAGATATGAGAATCCAGCTATTTTTTCTTTTATATATATACTAGAAGCCCGTTGCACGAAGATTCGCGCAATAGGCCTTCCTTCCCATGGCTGCTGGCACCAGTTTTCTCCGGCACCTGGGACCCAGGCCTTTGGTCCGGTGGCAGTAGAGAAGCCAAGCCTCTTCAGTCTTCAGTCTTTAGTCTTCAGTCTTCACTCCAGCCAGAGCCTTCAGTCTTTGCTCAGTGCCTGCGTATGCAAATTAACCGGCATCTTTGTTGGGTTAATTTGCATAGTCGCTCTGATTGGCTGGTGGGTGTAGTGGAGTGACCCCAATTTGCATGTTTCTCTTTTATTAGTGTAGACTAGAGGCCCAGTGCACAACATTCTTGCCTTGGGGGCTGTGGGGAGAGGTCCCTCAGCCCAGCCTGCACCCTTTTGCAGTCTGGGAGCCCTCAGGGGATGTCCGACTGACAGCTTAGGCCCTGAGCCTAAGCCGTCAGTTGGACATCCTTAGCGCTGCCATGAGGCAGGCTGCTGTGCTCACCCACTGTCAACCCAGCTTGTGGCTGAGCGGTGCTTCCCCTGTGGGATTGCATTAACCACCAGGGGACAGCTCCTGCGTTGAACATCTTCCCCCTGGTGGTCAGTGCACGTCATTGCGACTGGTCGTTCTGCCATTCAGTCACTTTGCATGTTACCCTTTTATTATATAGGATATATTTTTTTGTTATTGATTTCAGAGATGGAGAGAGAAACATTAATGATGAGAGAGAATCATTGATCAGCTGCCTCCTGTATACCCCATACTGGGGATTGAGCTGCAACCTGGGCATGTGCCCTGACAGGGAATCGAACTGCAACCTCCAGGTTCATAGGTTGATGCTCAACCACTGAGCCACACCGACTGGGCCCAGCTATTATCTCTTCAGCCAGACATTAGATTTGTAAAAATGTAAAACAATATCTCTCTTCTCACATTTTATTTTTTTTGCTTTGGAAATATTATTTTTTAAATTAAAATGTTTTATGTAATGCATTTGTTATTGTAATTTCAGGGCAGATTTTAAAATGAAGATATCGTTCACATAGCATAAAATTTACCATTTTTAAGTGTACACTTCAGTGGTTTTTATTATATTCATTATGTTGTGCAACTATCATCACTATCTCATTACAAAACATTTCTACCACCCCAAAAGAAAGTTCATATCTATTAGTGT